TTTAACCCGACCGATTAAGACGACTTGCCACGGGTAAAATTTTGACCTATCTAATATTCTACCAAGGTCCATGTAACCTTCCAAGTTTGTTTCAATTTCTCATTCAAACCTCACTCTTGATTAGGTTTAAGTGCGTGCGTTTGGTTAGTAGATTCGTACTATAATTTGAATCATAATTCGTTGTTCGTTACAGTGTTTTCTCTCATAAAAAATACACGTAAATCGAAAATGATTATGAATCATGATTCTGAATCTATGAATGCTCTGTTTGCCAGGTGAGAAAGTAAAGTATATAATGAGGGATAAAAGGACAGAGTTACAAACAATATATGAAATGACTATAATGCCCTCTATTAAACCTCACATGGGGTACAGGTTGACGGTATGATTTTGTAAATAATAGAATTACTTGTGGGATTAAAATAGAATTTAATAATTATCTCAAATATAGAGGCTTAAAAATGGAATCAATAGAAAATTAAAGAGACGTCGAGTAGCTTAGTTAAGTTAAAACTTTAATATTTAAAATTTATATATTTTTAAGTTAAAATAAAAACCAATTAACCATTCAACCGAATTACTATTAAATGAATGTGGGCAATGAGTAAGAACGGAAGCTTTTTATATACTCTACTCTTTTTTTTTTTTTTACTTTATATTTGTTATATTTTTAGCTTGTGTAACATGAGTCCACTTCACTCCCATTCATAAAACAATATTGGTCCCCACTTCTGCAAAATCTGCAGAAGATGCTATAAAGAGGAATAACAAGATGTAGCTCTCCTTAGACGCTTAATATGAGGACGCAGGACTTCACCTGTAGCGCCTTCTCGGTAATGATTCGAGATAGATCACGTATGTCCCACACCCATGGCTCCACACTGTCTACTCCCACAATCAAATAAGAAACCAAGCTGTCTTGACCAACTAATTGAACCTGAAAAAAGATTGTAATTTGTACTAATTTCCAATTTTTGACTTTTCATCACTGGTGTATATTCCTTGTATTCAGCTTATAAAATCTGTTTAGATAAAAAAATATCAGCGTATAAGAGTAACAATATACTTATTTTTTCCCCTAAAAGTTAGCTTACAATACTTTTTTTTTAATCATGCAATATATCTTACAATAAATTTAGAAAAAATTTCATATTGATACCTGTGTTATAACGTAATTATCTTTTAGTACTTTGTGTTTTTAATAATTTTAAACTCACCTTGATGTTTTAGAAAATTATCTTTTAGTACTTCGAGGTCATTTTTAAAGATATAAAATGTTAAATTTATCATTCTCATTACTTTACAAAAAACAAATAAATTTAGAAAAAATTATAAAAATATATTTTAATTTAAAGCATTATTGTTGCGTGGATCCACAAGTGCACGGAATCGTACAGATAATAAAGTGTACTATAATACAAATATCGTTCCAACAAAGATTGTGTTTAATTTAAGTTAATTACTGAAATTGGATTAGTTCTAAGATTATTCGAACAACCAATTACCGAGAAAGAAAAAAAAATAACTAAAACTAAAATTAAGAAAATTAAACAAAATAACTAAAGAAAACTAATAAAATGATCTAGAGATTTAATTTACCTAATTATGTCACTAAACATCCATTAGTCATCTTAATTGCGTTGTCTAGTTAAATAAAAGCTGAAATCTCCTAAATTATCCAAAAACCCCTCCCGCTAGTCAATTCGAAAATATCCTACATCAATTAGTGAACTATATTCCTATGACTACCAATTAATTAGGAGTCATTAGGTTCTTTATTTCGTTAGTAGCTACATAATTCTACTAGGTATATTTCTATCCCGTTAAAATTACGTCACTTCATGATTGACCTAGCATGTAAATTCTCCTTCTAATAGCAATCTACGGCTTCCTAATCAATTGGCGATCAATCAACTAGAAGCATTAAACCACACAAAGTAATTATTCAACATAATTTAGACAACAATTATTTTGAATAAATAGAAAATCAAAGCAACACAAATCAAGTAATATTGAACCCCTAGAAAAGGAAAAATCAAGCCATAATCACAAATAAAAATAAACAAAACTAATAATCAAGTATTTTTAGAGATTACCAAAATAAAGAGAATAAAAATTGGAGAGACATCACCAAATGAAGGTGTCACAAACTCCAAAATCTCGTCTCCAAATCCTCTTCTTCATTCTCTTTGAAGCTCCAAAATGCTCTTTTCAATAGTGTTTACAAAATAATATTACCTAAGTCTAAAATTAAAAATAACTCCTAAAACTAATGAGATGTTTGTTTCAAATATTCGTCCCTAGTTCTAAATTAATTTTTTATAGTGTTTTTTTTAATAAAAAATTTAAATTTTAATAATTAAAATTATAAATTATGGTTCTGAATCCATTAAGCAAATGTCATAAAATTCTACAATTCTAGAAATAAATCTTTTTTTTTTCTTTTTCTCTCCGCTCTTCTCTGTTCGTGGAGTCAGAGCAGAGCTTATGGAGAGAATGAAGGATGGGCTAAATTAATGCGCTTACGTCCCAAATTGCCTTACTTCCCTAAAATGCCCCTCACAGCTCTCTTTTTCTTTGGGATAAAAGAGAGAAATAAGGTAATTGTCAAAGTGATCAGTAAATAACTTTCAGACGAAAAAGACCCAAGACAATCCACGTAAATTCCAGAACAATTTCCTCGACAAATGCCTAATCGTTGCGTCTTTTTAATAGTTCTTCGACTTTTCATAATCGAAAGAGAAATCCAAGAATAGAAACGACGTTAACAAGAAACAACCACCAAAATCCCTATAAGAGCCAGCCAATTGAAAATTGTATGTATGGTTTTATTTCTTTTCAAATTAACAATAATGCACTGACAATCAGAAAAGAAGTTAATACATCTTCTCCGGCAAAGTCTTATTCTCTTCTCTGTCACCGTGCGACGATGAGCTTCGAACTTCGATTTGTGATGACGACTAGCCACACTACAAGCTTCAACCTTTGATTCGTGACGTTGCTACCGGAGTTCGCCATTCTTGAGGAGATCGTGATTAGAGAGATGGCAGCGGCATACTCCTTGTCGCTATATTCGTCGCGATCTCGGATCGTAAAACTCAGAAATGGCAGAGCCGAGACTCATCTCTGACAATAGCTGAACCACATGATTTCGATGATCTTTGTCATTATCGGGATCTTTGTCGCCGCTGTCTGTCACTTACTGAATAGAGAGAAAAAAATCGGAGGAGGATGAGAGAAAGAGACAGATCTTCGATTGACCTCCAAGTTTCAACGACATGGCAGTGGATTTCCAAGCTTCGACGAGGATGGCAGCGAATCTCCTCTGTGGAGTGTACGTTTGGTTTATGTACTTAAAATTATGATTTAGAATTATTTTTATTTTACGTATATTTTTTATGAGAAAAAATATTGTAAAGAATTATGAATCATAATTCAGAATTATGGATGAATATAGAAAACAAACGTTTAATACATGTTATAATTTTCTAACATTTAGGAGTTATTTTGTTGAGGGATTCGTACCCCGATTCGAATTATGATTTGTGATTCGCTATAGTATTTTCTTTCATAAAAAATACACATAAATTAAAAATAATTATAATTCATGAATTAAACGTCTCCTTAAAATATATAGTATATACTAAAAACAGACCTTTAAAATATGTTATTTGATGCCTTTTCTTTTCTTTCCTCTTCCGTGTAGCTAGTTGGAGAGCATTTTAGAAGAGCCAGACACATGGCGGACAACGGTTGGGAGTAAGCAAAGCTTCGCAACGTGGCAGCACGCGATTGGGTAGAGCTAGGAGACGGAATTCCAATTTGAATTTCATGACTTTTCTTTATAATTTCGCCCCCACTTTTCTCTAAAATAACATTTTAACCCTGTCACCAAATTTAATTACACAAATGAGAAAATATAATTTTTGAAGGGAAACTAAATAACAACAAAATAAATTAGTATCAAACTACATAAAATAAAGTAAAATTAAACTAAAACAAAATAAATTAAAACAAAATCAAAGTAAAATAAATTAAACAAAAATACACAAAGTTAAACCAAAAAGAGCTAAAATCTCAAGAACTTACCAATGTAAATACTAAAAAAATGGTAAAATAACTCTATTTTATAGATTTATCAATTTTTTATTTTTAATTTTAAATGCTTATAAGAAATTTCAAAATTTTTCTAAATTTATTATTAGTTTTTTGGTTAATTCATGAGAATCGTAACTTTAACATTTTACATTATAAAAAGACCTTAAGGTGCTAAAAAATAATTTTCTAAAAAACATTAAAGTATCAATTTAAAATTACAAAAAAAAAACACAATACTCAAAGACAATTACGTTATAACACATGTACCAATATAAAATTTTCTCATAAATTTATATGCAACAAACAACTAATCATTTTTTTTCAAAAGGCAAAAGTACAAAAGAGCAAAAACAACAAACTTGCGCCCATAACTTCACTCAAGTTGGGCACACTTGGGTTGGATAAATGAATTGGACACCCCTTTAATTGTAAAGATTTTTAAGTTTAAAGAGGTTCATTGTCAAAAAAAAAAAAAATCAAATTGTCAAATTAGAAAAATTGAGGACGAAAATGTCTTTTTATTTTCTTAGGATCGATCCATCCTCGCAATTCTTTTCTTTATGGGAAAAATATACAACATTATTAGTCCTTTTCTTGTCCGATCACCAAAAAAAAAAGACTCGAGATAAGCAGGTGAGATCGCTCACACAGGATAATTCACGTAATTAAACTCGAACCCGCTTCGTCGAAATTGCAGGTTAAACTCGAACCAGCCGCGTTTAAAACACGCGAACTGAGCTCAACCAAGCAGCGATTCTAATTCCGCGAATATGTTCTCTCGCGTGGCTCTAACGCTCTCTCGCTTCGCGTGGTTCATCTCTCTCTCTCTCGCTCTCTCTCTCTCCTTTTTCAAAAATAACTTTCACTGCTTCCCACTCTCTCACACACTTTTTGATCACACTTTTTCACACCCAACTGAGCCAAGCAGAGCAGAGTAGCCAAAACCCCGAGTTTCACAAATCTCTCTCTCTCTCTCTATAGCTCTAATCAGGGCAAAGAAATAGGATATGGGAGAAGGAAAGGGCTCGAGTCTGGTTCATCTTCTGGTCGTGGTCCTCAGCTTGGTCGCCTTCGGTTTCGCCATTGCCGCCGAGAGACGACGGAGCGTTGTAAGCCTCCGTCCTCTCTTCTCACTTTCCCTTTCTATGAATAATCTTATCGCCTTTTGTTGTCCTTGTCATTTGTCACTTTGATCTCTGCTTATTTTTGCGTTCTCATCTTGAAATTCCCGTGCTCTGCTTATTGAATTATTGATCTGATTAAGTTCTTTTGAAGTTGATCCTGTTGTGTAATTTACTTTGTGCGATTAGGTGTTATTATGAGTTCTGATCTTGTGGTTATGGCGTTTAAAGTGAGTACATAAGAGGATATTTTGTAAATTTTTATGTCTCTGAAGTTGGTGAAGTGTAAAGAGGCCCGAATTCTTTAATTGTTGGGGTAATTTACTTACGGATTTTGGATCTTTTTAGGGGAAATCTTTTTTGATTTCTTAAAGAATTTCAAATAATTCTTTGCTTAATTGTTTTTGTATTCAATGCCTTATATCGTGGCATGTGGGTAGGGATGTGCAAACTAACCAAACCGTTTATTTTGAATGAAATGCAAACCAAATTTATTATAAATTGGTTAGAAATTTTCAAACTAAATCAAACTAATTAAGAGATCTAATTCAATCTAAACTAAATCGATTTTTAATTATTTTGGTTTAATTTTTCTAATTGGTTGAACTAATATTTTATAACCTCTTCTCAAGCCTCAATTATAGGTGGTACTAATATTTTGTATGATAGATATTCCATTCTATTATATAGGTTATAGTAGAAACTTCTATGATCGTGCTCATTTAATTTTGAAATAAATGTTTTTTTTTTCAAAAATATAAATAAGTTACATATACGTAATATATATAATTTTATGAAAATATATACAAAATAGAATTAGTGTGGTTTGGTTTGGTTTTGTAAGGGTAAAACCACAAACCAAACTAAGTAAATTAGTTTTTTAAAGTACTAATATTTTGTATGATAGACATTCCATTATATAAATTATGGTAGAAACTTTTATGGTCGTGCTCATTTAATTTTGGAATAAATGTGTTTTTTTTTTCAAAAATATAGATAAGTTACATATACGTAATATATATATATATAATTTTATGAAAATATATACAAAATAGAATTAGTTTTTTTGGTTTTTGAAGGGTAAAACTACAAACCAAACTAAGTAAATTAGTTTTTTAAAAATTTAAACCATACCAAGTGTTTGGTTTGGTTTTCTTTTGCTTTGGTTTGGTTTGGTTAGTTTGAATGGTTTGTTGCACACCCTTACATGTTAGCCATTTATTTAGATACTTATTTATTTGTGAATTATTTTTACTAATTATGATCATAATGTCATCACGTTTTATCTTGGGAGAGTTAGCAGACCTCTCGAACGTCTGCTAATCTATCTTGTAATCTCTTTCAATTACTTGATTAATATAATTTTGCTTTTCTGTTTAATTTCTCAATTCAAGTTCGGTTCTTATCAAATTGGTATGAGAGCAGTACTTTCTTGGGCAAAAAAAAAAAAAAAAAGGCTGGAACGTGTGGACGTTGGAAGCGATTAGAAATGTCGATGTTCTCAGGAAAAGATCCGGATTCTTGGATTGTAAAAGTAGAAGAATATCATCTGAATAATCGATTTTCGGAACGTGAAAGGGGCTGGTTTGCAGAGGAATTCATGGAAGATGAGGCACTCGAGTGGTTTCAATGGGAGGACAGAAGGCGGCCATTTGCTTGTTGGAGTGCTTTTAAGATCAATTTGCAACTTCGTTTCAGAGCAACGCGTGAGAGATTGCTCTCTGAAAAGAATGAGAAGGTTTGTCCACGGGACGTAATGAGTTCAGATTTTCACGTTTCTGGCGGTGGGCCGACGCAACCAGTTCTAGAATCGCGGGAGGACGACAACGATTCGATCAATTTTTCGCGATCTGGTGCGAAATCGTTCAGATCTGAGACAATCGGCCGCGATTTGGTGGTGAAAATTGAGAACACCAATACGATCATGGTTGGGGTTCGACAAGCCGGCAAGATTGGGCTAGATTGGGGAATGTTTGTGCGAAACCTAGCGCGACTGGGTCAGGTGATTCATTCGAAATTGAGTGGGATCCCATCCGGATTTGGACCGGCTTACGCGATTCCAGCTCGCGATGAGGGAAGGTGAGTTGGTCTGGGCGAAATCGCCCTAGATCTCGAAGACCCACGGTGGAAGGGGCGATTTGACGGTGGGCTGTGGTCGGAGGTGGAGCGGCGGTCTCGTGCGGCTACATTTGGGGTTGGGCTCACAATTTCCGGCACGACTGAGGCTGGGCTTGGCGATTTGGCTGCGGTTTGGACTGGGACACATGACTCCGGCGATGTTGAGGCTGTTTCCGGCCGGTATAGTAGTGACCCACTCAATTCCGGTGATATTATGGTTAGGACGTGGAAGTTTGGTTCAAAACTTGGGGTCGGTGGGGCTGAGTTTCAAAATTCCAGCCAAATGAGGGCTGGGTCACGTGTTTCTAGTGTGGGCAAGTCCGATTCTTGCGTGATTGGGTCTGGGCTGCGGAATTCCAACATTGTTGGGTGTACTTCTGCCTCAATAGAGGTTGGGCCGAAAACTTTCAGCGAAAGTGGGACTAATTTCAGCAAGATATGTAATGGGTCCTCAAATTTTGGTCCAAATATGATTGGGTCTGGGAATTCCAGCACTTATGGGGCTGGGGATGGAGAAATTGACTTCATTGGAGTAGGACTTAGACACTTTGCAAATGGAAGATCTGATATTTCCGAGTTTGTAACTCCCAAAACCAAAATTTCTATGTTTCGTGGACTGAACAATGGCTACAATGGGGTTTCTGCTCTCGATTACACTTCCGTGGCACCTTTTACGCTTTGGTTTGTCACCGTTGAAGTTGGCACTTTAAGGATTGCGACACCCTTCGACATGGGAAGGAGATGGCGTCATTCCACTGCGGTCACCTGACCACACCTTGATGACAAAGTGTATTGAGGAGGGGAGTAATGATAGGATTATGTTAGTTATTAGTAATCAGTAGAATAAGTGGTTAGTAGTTTGTTATTAAGGTTGGTTTGTTATATTTGTTAAGCTAGTAAGTAGTAGTATATAAGAAATAGAAAGAGACTAAAGGGGAGGAATGGATTAGAGTAAACTGGGAAACCCTTGGGAGAGTTAGCAGACCTCTCGAACGTCTGTCAATCTATCTTGTAATTTCTTTCAATTACTTTATCAATATAATTTTGTTTTTCTGTTCAATTCCTCAATTCAAGTTCGGTTCTTATCACATGCCTCCTTGTAAGGTGCCTTGTAAGGTTTTCTTTGAGTTTTTGTCTCAGAGAGGGATTCATTGACAAAAGGTTTCCCATTTCCTTTTGTGCCTCGTTCTCCCTCCATAGTCCGAATTCCAAAACTGAGTAGGCGAACATATAGACAGAAGATCAATTTTTCATTAATTGGCCCAGGGTTTGATGTTCATGGTTATCTAATAATATCATGGTTCATTTTATGGTAACTCCCAATAACGTGCAAGGAACAATTGGTTAGAGAGAAACTGTCTTAATACTTTGAAATTTCCGACTCAAAAATGTTATTTACACATCCTTGCAGTCATAAACTAATGACTAATTCTTTCATTTTGATTTAGTGTTGTACTAGGAAGAGTAAAATATTTACTTTAACATGTTGTACATGTTGGCAAAATGACTTATTAAGCCATGGTAAAGGTCATTTTGAGGCCCATTTTGAGGTCCATTTTGAGGCCTATTTTAGAAAGGGTTCTAATTGGTTTTTAGGACAGGTCTTGATGGATTTGCGTTCTCTATCACGAGGAGATCAAAATCGATTATTCATACACTCAAAATGGATATTGGGTGAATGAGAAATTGATGTTCTAAGTATGTTACTTGGAGTAGTTAAGGAAATTGGAAATTGCAAAAATCCCACATTGACTAGGAATGAAGCATGGTGGTGTTTATAAGTGATTGCACTTTGAAGCCTAGATAAGCATGTGTACCAGAGAGGCTCTCTCACGCGCAGGGGGGCGGGTGCGAATCACGGTCCCGGCGGGTTAGGGGCCCAATGTGTGCGCTCGCGACATGCGGACACAAATGTCGGACCGGAAAACCTGCTCCGTGCGGGCTTTGTTTTGCAATTTTTATTTTTTGATTCGGCCCAAGACCTTCCACATTCAGTCAAAACACAAAACCGTTTGGAGCTTAATGGTGATTAAAGGGGGGCTTGATGGTATGCTTAATGCCGAGCTTAATGGTGGACTTGATGGCCGGTTATGGCATCAGTTTTGCCTTCATAAAAATTCGAACTTACTAAGGATTTTTGGCTAGGTTCGTCCTGAACGTTTTGCACCATTAAGATGCGCGTCTAAGCCCCATAATGCCATGTTTTGCACCACCTGAAGGACAACACACTTTTCCGAATTCTCTTCTCATTTCTCTCGGTTCTCTCTTGTTTTTGAGTTCTTTGTGCGTTCTCTTTTGTAGTTCGGTTTTGGTGATAGAGAGAAGATCTAAGTTCTAGTTCGCCGGACGGTTTCGATAGTGCTTCAAGCTACCGTCGTTGTCGTTGTATCCTGAGAGACAGATGTCTAATGTTACTTCAAGCACTCGCCGGAGGGGACGAATTTGTTTTAAGGAAAGCATGGTTCACGTGCGTCGACATCCTTGCAATTCGGTTTGCCAAGTTTGGTAGAAAGGTTTAATTCGTGTTGTAATTGTTTCTATATTTTGATCTTCCTATAAGTTATGAATTGTTATTCTTTGTTTATCTATATTTTTCTTAACAATCTTAAAACAGATTTAATACAAAAGAAGATTTTGCAGGAGAAAAAAAGGGAAAAAAAACGTTTTCTTATTGTAGGAAATTATTGTCAATTTCCTTACTAACTTAGAAAATTTGTTTTTGAAAATGACTGATAACATGAACGTGGTTGTTCTTGCTGGAAGCAACATCATGACACCTGAGCCGTCACCTGTGGGACACAAACATCTGTCTCGGTCTCGACCGCTGCTTTGACCTCGACGCGGCCTTCACTGGTCTCGGTTCATGTGAA